AGTCTCGTGTTAAACCACAAGAGTTCTGTTTGTTCTCCTTGAACCATCCTTCTTTTTGTGAGTTAGTTCCTCAGCTGCTGCAAACACTAGAAAGTGGAGTGTTAAACTTGCATTTCCTCCTTATCGCTCATTCTGTAAACTGACAAGGAAGAAAAAAAAACTACTTGGAGAAGAAGAAGAAGAGAAAGGAAGAGAAAAGATCCATAACTTCAATGATGCCAATCTCAATTGTTCTGATACTTTTCTCAGGTAGGTGGAACTTTTTAGCTTTTATTTAAAATCTTGGTTCATCTGTTATCATCTTTCAGGCTTGATGTTGGATTCCAAATACAGTCAGCCTTCCACATTTGTGAGTTTGATTTCTGAAGATTTGGTTCTTTGCAGATTTGATAAAAATGCTGTCTCTAGGCATCATTAAGTCCTCTGGTGCACTTCTATTGTCCACTTCTACTAGTAGTTGACCATATAGTTGACCTGGAGGACCTAAAGATTGCTAGAGAAATGTTTACCTGGGTTAAAAAAAACCCAGCACTTTAAAAAATTCACAATTTTTCACTTTTGTGGAAGTTGTATGCCCCTAATTCCTGCAAATATGAATGGGCGACTGTAGTCTAGCAGGCAAAACATATGTTTATTTAATGTACCCTTCCACCATTTTATAGACCATTAATTGATCCAATCAGAAATCTAGGAACATGGTTAGAGAAATATATTTTGAAATATATTTAATGAATAAATTGTTCTACTCCACATTGCTTCTCTATGCCTCATTAACTGTTACCTATAGAAGCAGCCAGTTCCAAGCCTTATCCTTCATCATAGGGTCTATTCCTTTGGAGATGTTTTGTAAGCCTTTCACAAAAGATACCTAAAAAAGCCCAATTGTATGCAGACATACCTATGTACAAGCTACATCGAACTCACTGGGACTGGCTTCCAAGGAGATATTCATTCATTTACATGGTGGTACTGTCATGTATTTTGGGCAGTGTTGTATGATTATGATAGAAAGTATGGAAAACAAGGTGAGGTAGCTGTCAACCAAGACCCATCGATGGGTCTATTGTTAATGTATTGTAGACCATCCAGTTCTTGTATTTTGGAAAAAGACAGCTTTTAATGAGACCCTCTTTCCCCAAATGCAGCTAGGGTTGTCAACTTTTGTAAGTGGATAGCATCTGTGGCCTGGATCCTATTTCTAGATCTAAATTAGAGTAGACTTGTTTGATCAGTTATGTTTATGTTACACAGCACTTGATTTAATGCAGGCATGGGCAGACTTCAGCCCCCCCGTG